TGTCTATTTAACAAACAACAACAACAACAACAACCCAGTTAAATCCCACAAGAGTAGGGTCTGGGGAGGGTGTGTGTACGCAGACCTTGCCCCTACTCGAAAGTAGAGAGGCTGTTTCCAAAGAGACCCCCGGCTCAACGTCGAAAGTTGCATTGCTTGACTAACTGCTACTTCATTATTTAAAGAAGCGCAGACAGTTTAGAGATCCATTTTGATTTATTCCATCACACCCCAAAGCCAAAAAATGGTGAAATTTTTTATCCTATGTCTATTTAACAAAAAAGATTAAATTTAGCCTATGTTTGTCAATGGGTCGGATTCGGGCCAGTCAATACTGTTCTATACCCGTACCATTTTATAAAATGAATTGATCCTAATCGTACACGTTTACCTGACGCGTTTTAAAGTTTAACCATAGATTTCAACCAATTGGGTCTCACTGTTGAGTGGGGTATACCCGTGATAAAAGTTGACGTGCTTTATGTTTATATACTTGGAAAAAAAATAATAAAAATACAAAACACTTATTAAGGCTAATATATATGTTACTGACAAGTGACAATAATCCTTCAAAAAACAAATTCAAATTTTAGTTAATTTTTATACATTCTTTGATACATACAATTAAAATCATCTAACTATAATATGATTGAGATAGTTGAATGGATATTTGTGCTTTATTAAGGCTCTAGCACAATCCATTCAACTCCTTTTCTGATCAAACTTAAACTTGACAATTTTAGCATCACCATTAAAAACATTATTTTAAATTGGAGAACTTGTTGCACACCACTCCTCTCTTTTCAAAGAAGGGGGCTAGAGTTTTGTAATATTTAATATGGATGTATCTAATTTAATAGTCTATCCATCATAAAACGTTTTTCTCCAATGTCCGTTTTCCCTCTATGCAAGAATAATGAAGAAACCATTGACCATGTTTTCCTCCAATGTAGTTGGAGCCTGAAACTGTGGCATATCTTTGCAGATGCAGTAGATGGTCCTGGCCCTAGAAATTCTCTAACCCTAAACCAACATATCATGGAATGGAACTTATCCCACAGAAGAAGGTCACTAAAACGTCAACTACGTAGCATTCTACCAGGGATCATCGTTTGGCAAATTTGGAAGGAATACAACAGAATCATCCATGAAAATAGCTCAATTAACATCAACAAGGTGAAATCAAACATACTAAAAACACTTAGAGATTGGAGCTGGAAAAACAGAAGAAAAAAATGGATGCTCAGAGATGACAATCTTGCAGACCTGGGATTCAATTTTTTCTTCTTGTCTGGAAAAGAATTGAAAGGAAACTTACTCTGCTCCATATTAAGACGGAGGGGACTAGTGAAAACTAGTATAGAAGCGGCGAGGAGTAACCTTCTCCATGCTGTGAAGAGGGGAGTTTATTATGGCCGTGTTTATGATATGAGGTAAGAGGACGGCGAACGAGGATGATATGGGATATTGGCGATAAGGAGGAGGGAAAGAAATCATGGTCATCTGGATTTGGAGCAGCGAAGAAGGGTTAGTTTCCTGTCAGGATGACACAGATGGTTAATTCTGACTTCAATTTTGGATTTTCTATTTTTCTTAGTTTGTTTGTATTTTGTTCTTTACTTTTGGGGCTTCGGCCTGTCTTCCTTGAACGTGTAATAGTCATTTACTTTCGGGGCTTTGGTATAGTCCTCCCCATACGTGTACTTTAATTGTTATTTAATAATACTTGGTAAGGTCTGCCTGACTGGACCTTACCCCACTGATTTTGGTGGTTTTTTGGGCTAATATATATATATATATATATATATATATATATATATATATATATATATATATATATATCATGGGATGGGATGTATAGGGTTGTAGAGAGAAGGGGGAACGCCGCCCCTTCGGCATTGCAATCACAGAGGTCGCCGGCCTGAGCTCGAATATAAGAGGAAGGGAAGGGCATCTCTCCAGTCACCATTGCGGTACTATGAGGAACCACACTATTACAGTCCCAAGCTTTGCCCATTAGCTCACCTCTGGAAGAAATCTGAAGATCGCCGATATTGGAGGAGACAGAACTCTGGCCCAAATACCAGTGCAGCTGGTCAGATTTCACTCTCTATTGAAAACAAAGACTTCGAACTATCGTATGACGGGCACAACATCATCATCTCCGAATCTAAATCAGGTAAAATCCGCCATCTATACATCGCTAAGACTCTTGCCCCTTGGCTAATTGATGTTCTAAGTCGGCCGAACTACTCAAACGAAAACTGGGAAATTACCGATTATGATGGTGATTCTTTCCTCAAAGTTTTTTGGGATTCAAATAGATTTGGTCACTTTGCTCGCCTCTCGTCAAATCTGGGACCCCAACACTCTCAAATTTTCATACCCGCTGGTTACTCTTTAGAAGGATTAAAAATTTTTAGCAGGGGTTTGGCTGAGCTCTTACGGGCCTCGGAAGGGAGATGTAGTCAGAGTGACCCTCTGCCACTCCCTTATAGTGATGAAGGAGATTGCAGGAAGCTCGAAAATGACAAGGACGAAGGAAGGAGATGCTGCCCCAGCTGGGTGCTCACTTCTGAAAGGGTTGATGAAGATCGAAAGGGTCCTGGAAATATGCTCCTTATTGACTCTATAATGGAAAAAGAACTGGAAGGTGCTCCAAAACACACTCCAGATGCAGAACCTCTAATTGACCAGGATTGTCTGAAGATACTCGATCAAGTCATTAGGGACAACCTTAACCTCTTCCGGAGATCAGTAGCAAACAAAAGATTTTTGCAAGTTCTTAAGAAGGGTGAGATACTCAGTTACTTAGGGGAAGTTATCAGGGTCACTAGAGAAGCAATGAAGAGCTTCGAATTCATTGATGCAGCAATAATTCAAGGAGCAAAGTATCTGGTATTCCTTGCTTATGCAAAGGAGGATATGGAGGTAGTGCTCACTCAACTGTGTAGTGTTCAAGAATGAATGTAGAACACATCTTGGCCAGGGATAGTTTTCACTTCCATTCAGTTTTATTTTCAGCCTTTCTAGGGTGTTTTTTGGTTCTCATTGTTGATTATTTGTGTGGCAATGCAGGTTAGGATGGGTTTTCTTGCAATAATTTCACCCTACTGTTGGTGTTTGGGGTGTGGCAGTAGTCACATAGTTATTAGGGACACAAAGTCCCGCAATGAGTTTGAAGGCTGGTAGGTTTAGGCCGTTTAGTAGCCCTAGACTTTGGTGAACGACAAATCAAGAATTTTGTGGGTTTGGCTCTCTTAGACTTTACTCACTTTAGGGTGGTTTTACTGATATGCTTAACCTTTGCTTGGAGGAAATCTGCGGAATTAAGGTATGGGATTTGAAGCTGCCACTTGAAGATTCTCAATGCTGAATAATTGGCTACTGGAAAGGAAATCATTGTGGGCTGGGCCCTCTTCAATAGCAGATGTTGCTGTTAAGTTAGGTTCCAGAGGAAGAAGAGGTTATAGAATGGTACTTGTAGCCATGTCCCCTTTCCCTTTTTTGATCTGTTTGGAATTTTCTTGGGCCACTTGTTGGGGCAGGCCACCCCCACTCTTTGTACTTTTCTCCTTTTCGAATAAAATCTCTATTAAAAATAATATGTATATATATATATATATATATATATATATATATATATATATATATAGACACACACACATACACACACATATATACATATACATATATATACATACATACATACATATATATATATATATATATACATATATATATATACACATATATATACATACATATATATATATATATATGTGTGTGTATATATATATATATATACACACATATGCATACATACATACATACATATATATATATATACACACACACACACACATATATGTATGTATGTATGTATGTATGTATGTATGTATGTATGTATATATAGACACACACACACAGATATATATATACATACATATATATATATATACATACATACATACATACATACATACATACATACATACATACATACATACATACATACATACATATATATATATGCACATATATATATATATATATGCATATATATATATATATATGCATATATATATATATGTATGTATGTATGTGTGTGTGTGTGTGTGTGTGTGTCTATATATATATATATATATATATATATATATATATATATATATATATATATATATATATATATATATATATATATATATCGGCAGCGGTTAGGGAATTTGGCCGATCCAGATTCCATGGCGAGCCACTCCAATCACGTTCAACGAATCTCCAGTCTAATAGGGTTTGGAAGAAGCCTGAGAGACGAAGATACTAGAGGCACCGGAACTCGGGTCCAAATGTCAGTGCAGACGGTATGGTTACACTTTTAATAGAGAGCAAGGACTTTGAACTTCTAGCTGAAGAGCAGTGTATCAGAATTTCAGAATCCAAAGCAGGTAAAACACGATTCTTAACATTCTCTTGGGCTATTGCACACTGGTTGATTGATACTATTACCAGACATGATTTTTCAAATGAAAATTGGGAAATATCTAGATACGATGGGGAATTCTCTGTCAAAGTTTCTTGGGATTCAAATCGTTTTGGACATTTTGCACGCATAGTGTCAAAAACAGGGTCTTCACATAATCAGATTATCATTCCTGCGGGCTTTTACTTAGAGGGGCTAAAACTTTTCAGCAAGGGTGTGTCAGAGGTATTGAGGAACTCGAATGGATTAAGAAATCACATGCCACATCCACTGCCAAATGTTCTTCAAGATGGTCTTGGTTCTGCAAAAGTTTGCAAGGATGAGGGGTGGAGATGTTATCATGAAGTTAATTCTACTGCTAGGCGTGATGAAGAACAGATTAACCTTAGAAGTAGGCTAATTGTTGACCTCACTATGGAGAAAGAGATGGAAAGTTTGCAAAGGCACACACCATTGACAGAGGTTCCTTTAGACCAGGGCTGTCTGAATCTATTTCATCAAGTTATCAAGGATAACATCAACCTCTTCTGGAAATCGATTGCTAGCAAATAGTTTTTGGATGATCTCCATAAAGAACAGATCCTCAATTACTCAGAGGAAGTCGTTAGGGTTACAAGAGAGGCAATCAAAAGCTTTGAGTATATTGATGCAGCGACAATGGAAGGTGCAAAGTATCCGGTGTATCTTGCTTATGCGAAAGAAGATATGAAAGTCGTTCTAGCTCATTTATGTGGAGAACAGGATTGATTAGGATTACTCTATGGGCATGGGTCTTTTTCGGGTTCTTGGTCATTTGATTATGTGGTTTTGGTCCCTCAAAGGGAACTGACCTAGGGGATATGACCTGGGCATCAGTTTTTGTTTGATTCATTATCTTTGGTGCAGTTTTTGGGCTTTGAGCAGTTTAGGGTTTTAAGCATCATCAGCAGGATTGGTGATTGAAAACTTTAAGCTCTTGTTTGGTGTGCACTCACGATTGGTGGTTCTACTTTAGCTTAGAGACTGGTATCTTCAGGTTGATGAAGGATAGCCATTTATTTTTTGGTCCTAGCTAGCAAGGAGCTGCCGTAGTTCACTTTATAGCACTAATCATGCTATTGTTGGGATGCTGCAACCAAGGACAAGTAGTGATTGTTTAGTGAAGGCTGGAAATGAATTTTCCAGACCATTAATCTCAATCGGAGGATAAGGTTGCAGGGATTCCAATAGGAAGACAACAAACTCTAGGTTCTTTGCTGCCAGTCTTACAATACCATATTTGTACTCTTTTCTTTTGTTTGGTTTCACTCGTTTTTTAGTGCCTTGTTCCGATGCTTTGGCCAGCTTGTTGGGGATGAGCCACTCCCACCTCTTGTATTTTTCTTTTGTTCAATAAAATCTGTTTTTGAATATATATATACTCTCTCCGTCCCATTGTCTTTGTCCACTTACCTTTTGGCACACCATCCAATGCACTTTTTTAATCCATTTTATCTTGTAATTTGTATATTAAAAAATTATAGAAATTATATTTTAATAATCTACATGTTAAGACAAATCAACATGATCATACATGACTATATTTTGACTTACACATTGAGAGAATTTGATGAGTCAAAGTGCTTAGATGAACAGTTCCAAAAGTCAAAAGTGGACAAAGACAGTGGGACGGAGGTAGTGTGTATATATATATATATATATATATTTTATCAAAACAAAATATTATATTAATGTAGCCGAATAAATATGCAAGTTTTGTCACATTTGATTGCTCCCCTAACATTTTTGGGGAGTGTATTGAATGCGAGAAAGTCGGAATAAAGATTGTTTGTAAGTGCATAGTGGGCGAGATTGTGTGCGGCTGTGTTTCCCTCACGGTATATGTGTTTGGCACTTCCGTGTATTGTTTTCAAGATTGCGTCTATGTTGAAACTGA